CGTGTAAACTCGTCCCGCAGCATTTTAAGTCCGACAAGAAACTGATCACTATGGTAACGGGGGGAGCACATGGTCACACAAACCAACGTGAAGCCAACATCAGGCGAAGGCTGGACCGTCTCATTTCACAGCAGTTTTGAACATCCTACCCGGCCCAGCAAGGATGTGGCCTACGTGGCCCAGCTAGGCTGGGTCCTCATGAGGACCCAGCCCATGAATTGAGACACAACCTGTGTGTGTGTGCTATGTGATGAGGAAYCTCAGCTTGGAGACACAGCCCAGAGGAGGAGCTGATCCCAGAAGGTGATTCTAGTCCCAACCAGTCGTTTTTGCTCCCCTCTCTGGCTGTCTCAGGACACTACAGGATTTCTCAAACATGCARGAATGAGTCAAAGCAAGACTCAAGCATGTTTTTYATGAGAGTATAACATTATAACATGATATAAAACTAAAAAAAGTTGATTTTACTTCATATTGCCCCTTTAAGATTGTTTGTTTTTATTGTATCAGTGAAGCATGCATCAAGAGAAAAAACAAAACAAAAAACACAAATATCAGCTCAAAATATCAATCAACCTCTAGTCCTGTGGTTTACCCAGGCTGCAGATGGTGCTCACTCTCTAACATTTAATATAAAAGAATAAAGTATGTAAACAACATAAAGAGATAAATTGCTGCTTGAGTGCATCACAAGAAAATCTAGCTGAGTAGAAGCAAATTACAAATAATTTTAAAAACAATCATTTCACCTATTTGGCCACAYGGCGTCAGTGTTATACAACTTTTATACTGCTTTTTATTTTAGTTCACATTCTTTTTTCCCTCCCACCTTCTCAAACACAACCCCAGTCTTCTGAGCTGCCTTTTAATAATCGTATCATGAGCACACAGAGAGCTCCAGCCTCTGCAGGAAGCCCACACACTCAGCTCGAATTTAGCAGCGATTAGCTGAGGAAACTCTCTGCTTGCTCTTGTCTCAACCCTCTTGCTCCACGGCTGGTTTGATCCCCATCCTCGGCCGTCAGCTGGTGGACATGACTGTTTTTGTGTGAGTGCAGGGGGATTTTTTTCTTTTTTTTTTTTTGTTTCTTTGTTTTTTTGAGGGGGCTTTTGAGCTTTTGATGGAGCTGAGTCCTAAGAGTCAGCTCTGCTTTTTATCTGGAGACTGGGAGGCAGGATGTGGACAGAGTTCAAGCACATTCTGCAGAGGTATATGAAGTAGTTGGAAGAAACAATTAAGTAAAAGTTACAATTTAAGAAAATATATAGTATAGTAACAAAGTAAATGTACTTAGTTACTCTTAAATGAGAATTTACCTCAGTGGAAGGAAATAAAAACAGTCACAAGCAAAACAAATACAACTTTGATCCAACAGCGTGTAGAAAACTGATCTGGAACAGAAAACYTATGAAGTTATCGAGGCGAAACGCCGGCCAGGGATCATTAAATTATGACTGAAGTTTGATAAAAACACGTTTTCTTTTTGTCAGTTTTATAACAAAACTCCAAAATACATTTCTCCTCTTGACCGAAAGCTGGAAAGTTTTAAAGGAGGTCCAACAAACAATCGTAATAACTACAAAACAGAGAACGCTGTCCTCATATCTTTTTCCTGTTTCCTCTCTATAAGGAGATGAAAAGATCCTTCATGTTGTTTCCTCTTGTTGCATTATTTATTACTGTGTGGCGCTTTATTAGCTGGTTTCATCTTAGATTTCACAGTCTGGTTTTTGGGGGAAGCCTTTGAAATGGGTTTCTGACTCCAAACAATCCMCTGCCTGCTTTTTCTCAATAGCTCCAGTCGCCTCCTCTCTTATGTGGAAAAAAAAAAGAAAAAGATTTTCAAAGCAAACGAGCAACCCTCTGAAGCCAAAATCRATTCAATACTGTCCTAAGGAACAAAGATGTTGTTCTTGTTTCATGGCTGACATGAAAGAAAGAATAGAGCTTCTTTTTTGGTGATTAGCCTCATTAGCATCATTAGCGCAGTATGGATGAACTTCACATGCCTGGCTTAAAGATATTTGTGTTACGTTAGAAATGACATTGAGGAAGATTATATTACCAATAAATTGGTTTATGTTCTTCCAGATATGGAGCGTTTCAGATGCAGCCACTAGATGGTGGAGATACTCTTGATTTAAACAGCRGAAGAAGAGCTGGAGCTCGGGAAATATTTCACAAAAAGTGGAGCTTTTTGTGASCAGATTGTGACAAATGAGGACGCAGTGTAAATGCTTACCCCTGAAAGATTTTTGCTGAAAGCTGCTAAAGGAGCTGAAGTCAAGATGAAAAGATTTAATAGCAAAATGTNTCCTGGGTCTCAACTCCAACAGACCGGCGATTTAGTGGCCTTGTTACTCAGCAGTGTCCTCCTGGGTCTCGACTCCAAGAGACCAGGGATTTAGCAGCCCTGCTGCTCCGCAGCGTCCTCCTGGGTCTCGACTCCAACAGACCAGGGATTTAGCTGCCCTGTTTCTCCGCAGTGTCCTCCTGGGTCTCGACTCCAACAGACCGGCGATTTATTGGCCTTGTTTCTCCGCAGTGTCCTCCTGGGTCTCGAAGCCAACAGACCGGTGATTTAGTCGTCTTGTTTCTCCGCAGCATCCTCCTGGGTCTCGACGCCATCAGACCGGCGATTTAGTGTTCTTGTTTCTCCGCAGTATCCTCCTGGGTCTCGACTCCAACAGACCGGTGATTTAGTGGCCTTGTGTCTCCGCAGTGTCCTCCTGGGTCTCGACTCCAACAGACCGACGATTTAGTGGCCTTGTTTCCCCGCAGTGTCCTCCTGGGTCTCGACTCCAAAAGACCACGGATTTAGCGGCCTTGTTTCTCTGCAGTGTCCTCCTGAGTCTCAACTCCAACAGACCAGATTTAGCAGCCCTGATGCTCTGCAGCATCCTCCTGGGTCTCGACTACAACTGACCGGCGATTTAACGGCCTTGTTTCTCCGCAGTGTCTTCTTGGGTCTCGACGCCAACAGACCGGCAATTTAGTGGCCTTGTTTCTTCGCAGCATCCTCCTGGGTCTCTACTCCAACAGACCGGTGATTTAGTGTTTCTCCGCAGCGTCCTCCTGGGTCTAAACTCCAACAGACCAGGGATTTAGCGGCCTTGTTTCTCCTCAGTGTCCTTCTGGGTCTCGACACAAACAACCGGCGATTTAGTGGGCTTGTTTCTTCGCAGCATCCTCCTGGGTCTCGACTCCAACAGACCGGCGATTTAGTGGCCTTGTTTCTCCGTACTGTCCTCCTGGGTCTAGACTCCAACAGACCGGCGATTTAGTGGCCTTGTTTCTCCGCAGTGCCCTCCTAGGTCTCGAGTCCAACAGAACCTGGGTCTCGATGCCAAAAGACCGGCGATTTAGTGGCCTTGTTTCTCCGCAGTGTCCTCCTGGGTCTCGACTCCAACAGACCYGSGATTTAMRGGCCTTGTTTCTCCGCAGTGTCCTCCTGGGTCTCGACTCCAACAGACCGGCGATTTAGCGGCCTTGTTTCTCCGCAGTGTCCTCCTGGGTCTCGACGCCAACAGACCCACGATTTAGTGGCCTTTTTTCTCCGCAGTGTCCTCCTGGGTCTTGACTCCAACAAAGCAGTGATTTAGCAGCCTTGTTTCTCCGCAGTGTCCTCCTGGGTCTTGACTCCAACAGACCCGCGATTTAGCGCCCCTGCTGCTCCGCAGTGTCCTCCTGGGTCTCGACTCCAATAGACCAGACTTAGAGATCCTGCTGCACTGCAGCATCCTCCTTGGTCTGGACTCCAACAGACCAGGGATTTAGCGGCCTTGTTTCTCCACAGCGTCCTCCTGGGTCTCGATGCCAATAGACCGGCGATTTAGTGGCCTTGTTTCTCCACAGCGTCCTCCTGGGTCTCGACTCCCAACAGACCAGCGAATTAGTGGCCTTTTTTCTCCGCAGTGTCCTCTTGGGTCTCAACTCCAACAGACCGGCGATTTAGTGGC